TTTTGGTTTTTGTAAAATTGAACTTAAATGTTTTATAGCTCCACCTTCATCTTGTGCTGTTTCCATAGAGGTGCAGGACTTTATATTGCAGGGATAAATGAACCTACAGTGAGTGAAAATGGGACCAGAGCAAAGAAATGGACAGAAACGGGCGAAAATAGAACATTTTAAATATTTCTGCTTCAGTGTTGATTGGTTGTTCCTTATGACGTGTAACCAATCAGTTACTGCTGACTTCTAAATTAAATATTATGTTCTTATGCTGTTTTTTTGTCCTAGAGATTGCTTTTATTTCCCTTTTGCTTTTTTTACTGTGTTTTATTTTTATTTATTTTATCTTATCTTTTTGCTTCCTTGCTGTTATATTGATGAATGGCGAAATACTCTTTTTTTGTTTTGTCTTGTCATTCGATCAAGTACCTGCCTGTCGGGTTCAATGTGTTTTTTGTTTCAGAATGCCAATGCTATCATCTGTTTTCCGCAAAACAAATCTACCCACAGGGATTAATACAGTAACCTTGAACCCTGAACTATGAACCTAGTGTTCGGAGTGTTGCAGAGATCAAACGGTGGCTGCATCAGACCCGAAAAAAACCAACACAGATGAGGAAAAAATGCTGAAAATATCATCCATTAATCAACCTAACTATAAATAGAAGTTAAACTGTAAGTGGAAGAGTCCACCAGCAACGCAAACTATTTTAACACCTTTACTAACAGACTACATAGTACACAAGGAACCATATACACAGCATGTCCAAAAGAAAAAAACCACTAGATGTCCTGCTACATCGGGTCAACACTTTTCTGTCAATTCTGACCCACAATCCTCTGCACGGTTACAACATGGTGTCTTATACAGAAATAAATTACACCTCATGTTGTACTGCAGACTGTGAGCAAGACGGTCAAAGCTTAAGATGCAACATTATGATGACGTAGGATGCTTCGGTAGAGGTCAGCTCATACGCAACTGGTCTTTTACATTGATGCTGATGCAAATCCAACATCTCCTGCTTCACATTAAAATCACACAACAAGCAAACCCTGGCATGACAGTTGTTGGAAGCACCTGTTGCAAAAGTTCAACAAAAACACGTCGACATTGTGCGATTTTTCTGACTTTTTTGGGAAACAGATCCGCTCTAAATGTGTCAGGGAGCAACAGAACAGAGAAAGAGAGCCGTCAGACCAGGAGCTGCTCGCTTCCAACTTCTCAGCGAGTTCGTCGGCTCCTTTTGCTGCGTCCTGCAGTGTGGAAAATTACCCACAAAGTGTGCAACAGGAGTTAGCACGAGCTTCAGATACACCTGCAGCTCTTGTGTTTCTGGCGGAGCAGCTGCTCAGAAGCAGTTTGCTGTGATGCATCCACGGTCGTCACCACTGGAGCAACTTTAAAACTCATTATCAGTGATTTTAGTTATTTTTTTTTAGCTGTTTTAAGAATATCTGCCGCATTTCTAAGAGATGCACAAAAGAGCGCTGTTGCCTCCTTCGGCCGTTGCTGGGAGTCCTGGGTTCCAGTCCTCTACTTTACGGCCTGGCGGTGATATAAAAGAGCCTCTAAACTCTCCCGAGCTGGCATTACCATAAGTAAACCCCGCAAAGCACGTCATCGCTGTGGGCAAATATCAGGGTGGCACAGGTTCCCTGCTCTCTCTGCAGCAGAGCACAATCCTGGGCCTTATAGAAACGGGGGGGACGGACTGACACTCCAGGGACGATCTTTTCACTCGCTGCCATCTTCCCGCTCTTTTCCTCCTCCTTCTCTTTCCTTTCTAAAGCGGGGTTTGGGGAGTGTGGCATCATTGTGCCACTTTCTGGATTTAGTCTAAATCCTGCTTGCCAGCTCTCATTTTCTATGCTCTAATCTTCAATTTCTCTGCTTTTAAAAAGAGACCAACTCTCAATCCCTTCTTAACAAAAAAAAAAAAAAGAAAAGCGAGGCCACCAAAACTTTCTCCTCCTGGTTATCTCTGCTCCTCCTGGACTCATTATCTCTCCTTCCCTTCCTTTTCTTTTTTCCTCCCCTCCTCTTCTATTCCTCCCTTCGTCGTCTCCTGCTCTCCCAGGGAGGAATGTGGCTGTGTGGGCCAGTGTCAACTGTGGTCTATCTGTTGTCGTAGCCAGCAGCCCGAAGGCTCAGAGTCAACAGGGCTGGAGCGCCGGCTGCAGCCGCCTGCCGCTGCGCTAAGTGAATAATTGCACTGTAAGACGACCGCTGCTTCACGGCTACACCACCGCACACACCACTCGCACTTTACACGCCCACACAAAGCCGCGCACACACACACACCTGACAAAAACACGCTGGAAACAGCTGGTTTTGCTCTGAAAAGGCTCCCCAAGTTCCAGCGCCGAAGCCGAAAGATTGTAGGCCACAAGGAAACTTTTTTTTTTTTTCCTTTCCAGTGGCACATTCTGCAGTGTTTTGGCTTCTCTAATGAGTTATGACAGGGTTTGTCCTGAAACTCAAAGAAAACATGCAGCTCTGTGCTCGAGTAGAGTTCCTGCTTAACCCTCTGAAACCCGACGGCAAGTTTTAAAATTGTATTATCTTCTAAAAAAACCTGCAATTACACCATTGGTCAAAGGCAGAAGCTGCGAAAACTGAGAAAGTTACTGTTTTTGAACCAATCATCTGTATTTTGTTGGAAAACTTAACTCTAAATTCAACATATTTCATCAAAATCACTTAATTCTACATGTGCATCTTAAAAATTCATCAAATATTTTTCAAAAAATCAAACTAAATGCTGCAGAAAATTAAGAAATTCTGCGCTCCTCGTTGCAACAGAGGAGGTTTTAGGTGATGTAGGCTGAACTGCAGGTTGCGTTTATGTGGAATAGAGAGGAGAAAGTATGAAAAGAAGAAAAAAATAATGTAAGAACTGAAACATCTATTTTTTTCTAGTATTGTCACACATCAGGACACATTTGTTTGTTTTTATGACACAGTTTTTTAGTTTCTTTTGCCCCCAGTTTTCAAATAAATCAAACATTTGTCTTTTTAATGGTTTATGACATAACTTTCTTGCACAATACTTATAGTTTATTGGTACTAGTGGTCTTGTTTCCATACCCAGAAACTGGAGTTCTGAGGGTTTAAACAGCAGCGTCTCTAAGTTCCAGTTGATATCCAGCACCTCTCTATAAACAGGGTTACAAAGTTCTTAATAAGTTAAGAGAAAGGGCGATAAGACTAAAGTAAAAGTGAAAGTAAAAATCCATTCTCAGGCCCAAAGTGTTTCTACAAACTGAAGTTAGTCGAGGAACGCATTTGAAAGTGCTGCAAGTATTTAAAGGTACATCGTTGGACATGAAAACGTGGATAAAGTTTAAAATAAAGAACGTTCTCTGTGCATTTATAAACCCACCTAAAGATCCCAGGCGTGGTGCAAGTAAAGCAGATCAATGCCGGCGTGTTCCATGTGTTTTAGTCCCAAAGGGTTTCATTTCACTTTCAGGTTCTGGTCATTTTCTCGCTGACCGTGGGATCATGTTTCACTGCAATGTAAAGTCCTGCACCTCTATGGGAACGGCACAACCATGACTAGAAGTAGAGAGAGTCATGCAGCCGTAAATTGTAAAAAATGATTTCTTTACTTTCCACTTTTATCTGCAGCACTTTCACAAACATCACCTGAATAACTTTAGTTTGTAGAAACACTGCAGGCAGGGGGGATTACAATATCATCAACGGTTTGTAGTTTCACTTTTACTTTAATCTTATTGTCCTTTATCTTGTTAAGGACTTTGTAACCTTGTTTATGGAGAAGTGCTATATATAAATCAAGGCTATTAACAGAGTGCACTAAAACACAGAGACGCTGCTGTTTTAACCCTCTGGGCTGTTGTTCACATTTTTACTCGCTGTGGGTTCATTTTTCATTGTAATATAAAATCCTGCACCTCTATGGAAACAGAACAACCTGGTTTGAAGGACTCAGAAATGTCTTCTGTGCAGTATGGCAAAGTTATAAAGCCATGAATCACAGGAAAACAAGAAGCAATAGCGCTTTTTCTTTGATTATTTATCTGACAAAAGTCCAAACACTGCCTGCAGTTCAGTCGAAAAGTTCCTGATTGCTTTTCTTTGTCACATGTTGGTCACAGTTGAGTCACTGACGGCTTCATTGTTGGGCCGAGGAGTGTTGGAGTTTTGTTTTTTTTACAGAATCTGTTTAGTGCAAACTGTGGCGAATCTTTACATGATGAATGTCGAATCAAGGGATTTGGTTAGTTTTCCCAACACAAGTGAAAGACACAAGCACAATATGTTCAAAACCAGCAGGAAAGTTCTACCTCACAGTTACCGGCTCTGATAAATGGTGTGCATCTACAAGCCAGCGAGGCTTTCAAACCAGTTTGGGGTTAATAGCGTTAACACCAGTAAAACAGATCTAATTTAACCGAGACAGGTTATGAGTAAGTAAACACAGGAGATGATTTACTAAGTGTGTATTATCAACACAACGATTAAAAGAAATATTGCAGCTGTGAATTACTCGACCCTGAGGTGTCGTTTAGATTGGAAACAATAAAGGGCCGAGAGCAGAGCCCTGGGGAACCCCAAAAGTAATGGCTGCACTGCTGAAGCGAATCTTCCCAAAGCCCTCCAGTAAGAGCCAGTTAGTTTAAATTTGAAATGATCGGAAAAATGGTTATTATTCAAGTTTCTCAAGCCATTCTTAAACAACACCTAATTCCAAAACATCCTCCGAGGACGAGTGAATATTAAAATCTAATAAAATACCAGGTGCTAAAATGGTAAGAAAAAAAAACAAAAAAACTCTCCCTCCACTGAACTCTCACTCGACTGAACTCTTGAACCACCTACACTCTGGCTGACGCTCTCGTACGGGGGATGCTGGGAGAGCCTGACAGCCTAACGTGGATGTGATTAATAGTGCAGCCTCTGATGCCATCTAAATTATGCCAGACAGCGACTGGACGCTGCTGAAATGAGTGAGTGTGTCTCGGTGTGAACACTGACGTACCGGTCTTTCTCAGCGGGAAGTCATCCCGGGGGTTGTAGACGCCCAGCACAGGGTGGTTGTAGGTGGACACGCCGGTCTGTGGAGGCGAGCTCTGGTCCAGAGAGCTGTGCTGGGTTTTGCTGCAGAAAACAAAAAACCACAGCGTTAAAGACGATCACAAAACGTGTGCAACAAAAGGCCAAACCCCCGACGACACCTGGGGCTGAATGAGCAACTAGCTAACGAACTTCGTGGCTGTCACGGATCTGTATGATTAAACCATCATGTAAATCCCTTGGCGTGGACGCAGACATGTGCTGCCATCTGCTCGCTGCCTACAGAACGAGGTGGCAGGCAAAGTTAAGCCGAGCTGGCTTCGGCCCAAATGCATGTTCCTGACGAGCGGCTGATGGAACCTAGAAAAGGAGAGAAGCAGGCAGATATGGAAAGGCACACTTTGAGCTGCTGAAAGTCGACGCTTGTGGGTGTTTCACTGGGTCACACATCACGGTTATGTAACGTTATTTATCTGGTTATGTGTTTGCATTTTACGGTTTTTGTCCTTTTGTTGTGTCAAAATGAAACGTGTAACTCAATTCAGGAGGTATGAACAATAAAGCTAAAATATTTTACTGTTGTTTCAGGTCATCTCAATAAGCAGCAGCAGTGAAACACAATCTATCAGTTCAGAGATACTCGTCTACCTTCATCCAAAGGCCACAGCAGCATGATCTTGCATATTATTATTATTCAATGATCAGCGTCTAACACAAGGTTTTCGGTATTTTCCTTATAAAAACACAAGAAAATCTTTTAAAAATCACTGAGAAAAAACAGCTTCATAACACACTGTAAAAAAAAAAAAATCCTACTTTTACAGACTACAGCTAACTTTCTGTTTTATTTAATTGTAAAGAAAAGTCTGTAAAATTACAAATATTATCTGTAAATGAACGGAGGAGTTATATAGGTGCAGTTTTATAGAAAATTTACGTCCAAATTTGTACAAAATAAAAATCTGTAGTTAAAATTGTAGCTGTTTATATAAATGCTCATGACTGTTCAATCAATTTATTGTTTTTCTTGCAATTTCAAGATAAAATTCAATTTAATATTTATGTGTACCTTTACATTAAGCATGTGTAATTCTGGACACACAATTTATTATAATGTTATCACTTTATTTTATTGATTTATTTTTTTTTTTGACTCCGGTGTTGGTTTCCATTTTTTGGGTTGAATATTGGACATTTTCAACTCAATAAAATAAACACAAGTGGTTTGGAATCAATAGAGGAGTGTACTTTATTTGCATTTTAAAATATATAACTATTGTAATCACGTGTTTATGCTTCATTGAAGAATAATCCAACAACAAATCTGCAGAACTTTTGGGTCTATGAGCTTACTCAAAGTGTTTAACTGACGGAATTCAAGAAAAATCTGTAAAATAATGTTTTACTGCAGAATTTTCAGGGCTATCGGTTTTATTAAAGGCATTCAATCATAATAATTAAGGGGCAAAAAAGCTTAACTGCAGAACTTTCAGGTTTAGCAGTAGATTTAAGGTGTTTTTAGTAAAATTTCAGGGGGGAAAAAAGCAAAACATGTAGGGCTATGAATCACTTTAAAGCATTTGATTGAAAGAATTTGGGAAAAAATCCGTAAAATATTGATTAACCACAGAACTTTCAGGCTTATTGAAGGTGTTCAATCATAATAATCCAGGTGAAATCTGTAGGATCAAACTGCTTAACTGCACAACTTTCAGCTCTATCAGTGTATTGACGGTGCAAAAACTGTCAAATAAAACTGCTTCCCTCCAAAACATGTCATCAAACTTCCTGTACATTTATTGTTTCAGCACGGTGTTTAAATTAGGACACTTCCTGGCTATTTGTGTACGATTCTTTATTCAGTGTGAGAGAATATAAAGACGTGCTACAGGTGACAAAGAGGAAACATGGAGTGTGCACACCTGCTAAGGGCTCCAGAGATGCTACAATAAACATTCAAGGCCGAGTCGTCGGCGTAAGAGCCCCTATCATCGGGTTGCAATATCCTGCTCTCACGTGGACGTGCGCGAGCGTGCATGTGCGTCTTTGTTTTGTAACGCCTCTCGATGCGTCTCTCAGTCGGCCTCTCACGGTAACGCAGGTGAGGAGGAGAGGAAGCTCGCTGACAGATTAAGACACAAGCCGATGCATTATTCATCCGCTGTCAGGGAGAGAATTACCATCCAAACTTATAATGATCCGCTGCTCGATTCTGCCGTTCTCCACCGCTTACGATCATTACAAACCGCTGGGAATATAGGAACGCTAGCCGAGGCATTGAAATTGTTTTGACAGCGGTGGTATTGATTTATCCATATGAGGAAGATGATGATGTCAAAACGTGTCACTAAGTTTCTGGCTGGAGCTGGCTGCACCCTGTGAGCTCAACCTCCGCTGTTTTTTTTTGTCTCTATTTAATGAAGCAGAAGATGTTGCTCACCGGTACCAGTAAGGAGCGTCGTTGGGGAGGCCTCCCTGGTTGAGGCTCCGCTGGGCCAACGCCTTCTTCTTGTTCAGGACAAACTCCTGGAGACGCATCTTCACCTCAGTGCTGGCCACAGCGCCTGAAAAATATCACAGTGGGATGTAGTTTATGGTGATATTTTAAACAGTTTCTTCCTTTCCTTTAGTACGTTTCTCCTGCACGTAACCTTTTCATAACATTTCATTTCACACAACCTCAACGTACGAGCAGCTTCCTCGCCGGTTCATCAATGTTTTCAGTGGAGCCACATTCCCTCAGACTACATTCCTGTGCTTATAGATGTGGGGTTATGGTGCATAAACGATGTTTTTGGTTGGCTCAGCTGACCAATCAGAGCCAAGAAGGGGGCCTAAAGGTCTCATCTAGGGAATTTATGCAGATTATCAACTTTCTAAGAAAGTCAAAACACACCAAATCTTCTCCTGTTGGCTGCAAGAGTGAACATAAGAGTCTTCATGCACTCCCACCATCTGAGGAACTGAATAACCAGTGGATTACTTTTACTATTAATGGAAATGTTAGCGTGTTGTGTGACTAATGCAAGGGTCGGCAACCCGGAGCCACATGCGGCCCTTTCGTACCTCTGCTGTGGCTCCTTGTAGCTTTGGAAAATAATGAGTATTTAATTGAAATGTATTTTATTTTAGTTCATTACTTTTAAAATGTAGTTCTACATTTGAAGATTATGGTGCTCTTATAACATTAAAATAAAACATGTTTAATTTTTCTCTCAATATGCGTCACAACCGCCTTTCTCCCTAAGTCTGACGACTTTCCAAATTCTCTTGGCGACTTTTTTTTTTTGGTCAAAAGCGACTCACTACAAATCTAGCGACTCTTTCTGCTGTTTGAGACTCTGACGTGAAATCGTTCTGCAGTTACTGTCCTCAACCAGACGTCTGCTGCAGGTGGATGATTTAAGTTCGGCTTTTTATTTCATGAACATGAGGAGGACTCAAATAGATATTGAGTATTTTATTTGAAAGTAACCTTCAACCCAGCGCCGATTTTTTTTTTCGGAGTTCAAAATGTTTCGCTGCAGAAATAAATTTTTTGTTTCCTCTGTAGCAGCTCACTGATTTCATAAATGCAACACAATAGTTTTAATACATAGCGTAAAGGTAAAAACAACATATGCTGTCTGTGTGATCTCCATTTTGGATGTCACAAGGGTTGGGCTAATGTTACTATTAGTTTGGACAAGTTCTGAGCAGGTTGTTGTGTTTTCATGTGACCTGCTGTACTTCAGTTTTACCTAAACTCTTCCCGTGTTTACATCTGTTTACTTCTCTCCTGCTCTCTATGATCACATAAACTGTATTTTAACACAGCTGATACCAAATGTGAGTCTCACACACTCATATCTGTGTCAAGGCTCTGAACTATCAACCACAGATGCAGAGAGAGTCTTCTTCCTAAAGGAGGCGTGGACACCTTCAGCTCAGCCACATTTCAGACTACAGACACTGAAACATCCCGTTTAGAACAGAACTAAAATAAGAAGTTACACAGTCATGGTAAAAAATTCGCCATGTTTGCAGTTTTTTCAGCTGACATTGAAAGACATTCTGGGGACATGTGACACTTTGATTAATTTGCTAAAAAAGGGGAAGAATGTGGGACTTTAAAGCAACAAGAAGGGGAAAGATCTGCTGCAGCGACGTACAGTTTGAGGAAAATCCTGTAGATGTGCATAATAAGGGTTTAATTACACATATGAACTGTCCACAGCAGCTGAAGTTGTAGAAAGTCTGCGATGGAGCATGAAAAATAGGCTAAATTATCATGGACATTTCGTAGTTTCCAGCCATGATTCAGATGTCTCATTATACTAAAGTTTAACTTTAAACGCACTCATTTCATTTCCCTTCAGGAAGCTCCAGCATTTAGACAGATCCCTAAACTGTCACTGAGTCTATGTGATGTGTACAAGAAGCTAAATATTCAAATTCAAGACTTTAAGGAGGTCGATGAGAAGACAGGTGGACTCTTTTTGCACCGCCGTTGTCTTTTCCTGCTTCCTTTGACGGCAAAGTGTTTGAGAAAATGTGTTTTAACTATTTGAATGCAGCCCGTGTTTTTCACGGATGCATCAACCAAATAACTTGAGCACCATTTATACACACATCTCAGCTTTCATGAAAAATGGATTCTTTAAGGAGGAAACTTTTGCCTTACAAGAGAGAAATAGCGGTTAACAAACATTGCTGCTCCAATGTGCATCCACTTCACCCTGATCTTGCAGTTTGAGATGACAAACTATGACTTCTCCTGTCTTCCAGCTTTAATTATCACAATGCAACATCAGTCCTATGTAGAGCTGAAACATTTCAGTTAGCTGGCTGACAGAAAATCAATCCTTCTTTTTACAACAGTCAAGTCATTTATCAATCAAACACACCCGAATGTCTCCACTGTGAGAAAACAGCACTTTTTCTGTTTATATGTAACCGTAAATTTGGGACGTTTTTCATCAATCAGTTGAGAAAATAACCGGCGGATTATGAAATAATAATTAGACGCAGCTCTTTCGGTTCATCCGCTGCCTCCTAAAAGTGGGATTTCTTGACCATAACAACAAGAACGCAGGAAAAAGACCCCAAAAAATGATGCAAAAACGCTGAGAAACTTGAACAAACCGCACTCGCGCCGACATGCGAGAGCAAACACTGCAATCCTCTCTCCCTCTACCTCGCACACATACGCTGGAATGGCCCGGACGCAGCCTCGATCCGTTTTCCATATAGAGTGTAAACTGCTCTCAAGGACTCCTGTCCACTTGCTTTCAATGAACTGTTGAGAGACATCCAGCAGGCAGCGGTAATAACTCGGCCGAGCCCCCGCCAAGGCCACCGGGCTAATACAGCTCGTTTACCGCAGTAAATATACAGGTTCTCCAAGTAAAATGGAAACACACACACACACACACACACACACACACTTGCATGCATAGAAACGCACAAACACAACGGATTCTTTCAACCTTGGGAGCTTTTTTTGAATGAAGACTAATTTCTGACGCTGGCAGATGCGACTAAACGACCCGACTGTGAAGCTAAAATTCACTGGACTTCTGTATTTTAACCAAAGTATCATTAACTGACTTCAACGCGGGTTAAAAATGTCAACGTAAAGGCAATAAATGTGAAATTTATTGATATTTACAAGCTGCTACGGTGGAGTTGTGCCTGTTTCTTGTTCTGTTACTCGTATTTTATCTTTTACTAACCCTCTGAACCAAAAGGAGTTTCGAGGTTTTGTTTTTTGGCTCCCGTCACATTTTTGCTCCCAGTGTGGCTTCATTTTTTATCCTCCACATAAAGTCCTGCACCTCTATGGAAACAGAAGAGCAGAGAGAACTAAAATATGTCCTTTTTTTTGGCAATATAACACAATTAAATGTTTCTAAGAGCCTCCTGAAAAAATGTCTACATACTTTAAATATCTTATTATTTACAGTTTAGCCTAAAAGTCCCTGAATTTTATTTACATGATTGTTGCTCGCAGCTGATTCACTCATAACCTCTCAGTTGCAGCAAGAAGCCCAGAATTTTGCATTTTTTACAGAATCTGATTTGTGCCAACATCTTATTTTTGGCAAATTTTCAAATGAGAGACTTCGAATAAAGTGTTTTCGATCAAATGTCTCACATCTTAGCCCTTTGATTTGGTTAATTTTTGACAATTCTCTGTTTTTACAGCTTCTAGTTTTGACAAAAGGTATATTTTTGGCTTTTGTTTTTTCCAGATAAGGCTCAGAGGGTTAAAACCATAATGCGTTACAGCTGCGAATCTCATTTTCTTACATGTTTTTTCTTACATGCTGTAGGGAAGGTGAAATAAAACGATAATGTTTTTGAGATATAATGTAAATTTTCACCTAGAAATTAACCTCAACATGTTTTCGGACTGTGTGGGAGGAAGCTGGAGAACCCAGAGAGAACCCACACTGCACGGGGAGAACATGGAGACTCCATGCAGAAAGATCCTGGTTGTCCTCACCGGAACGAGAACCGGAGACCTTCTAGCTGCGAGGCGACGGCGCTAACCACCGAGCCACCTTGCAGCCCTGGTTTAAATATGATCGTTTTATATGTTGTCTGACATGATGCAAAAGAAGATGCTTGGGGTAATTTACAAACATTTCTGACTCCACTGTTTGCAATAGTCTCAACACTGTCTGCAGCGCATGTAGCAGAGCAGATGGTGCGGAGTCAAGCAGTGCCAACTACTGGGTGACATGCATTGCTGGAATCTTAATTGCCATCATTTCTCACCTTTAATACAACTCAAGTGCATTGTATGTATAAACCTATAAGTTTAAATGTATATAAAATACCAGCTCATGCATCAAAATCACACTTTTTACTCCTTAAAACTCAACATCAGCTCCAAAAGTCCAGCTCCGGCTCCAGCTGACAGATATCTGGTAGCAGCCACAGCTCGGCGTTGGATTCACTTTGGATCATTCTGCTGCTACTTACTCTCTTGCCCCCTCTCCTTGTTCTTGAGCAGCTGCAGCTTCTGCTCCCGCTGCTGCTTCTCCAGCTCCTGCTCCAGACGGTGGTTCTCCATCTTCCTCTGGTGCTCCAGCAGCTCCTGCTGGTGCTTCAGAGCCAGAAGCTCTTGTTGCTGCTGCAAGAACATTAAAAAAAAAAAGCACGTCAGTAAAAAAAAAAAACTCATCCAACAGAAGTTGCCACCCTGGGCTTTGGAGGCATCGCATTGGAGAGGCTGTGCGACAAGAAACGCTTTAAGTTGTTGCCGACAGAGTTCAGAACATGTTATTAGCACACAGGCTGCACGATAATGGAGAAACTGACTTTGAAAGATTTAGTTTTTCTGAAATATTTCGATATAAACTCCTTTTAGAAAGACAGAATCATCCGAGAATGATGGGGTGATTTAGTTGAGGAGTGCACCTGCATAGAAAAGCAAAAGTAATTTTAAAAAAAGCTTAAATATGACTGAAGCAACCCGATTGGAACCTTTGCACATATAGTTTAACACTGGCAAAGGCATTCAATGTAGTTCTTATTTTTTTGCTGTGGATGGCATTCAGATCTGGCTTCATCATACAGAGGTTTGTGGTGCTGATTTAAAAGGTCAAACTAATTAGCCGCCTCGTGTAGCGGCAAAAATTAAGTCGCTGCCGACAGAGTTTCCCTGTTTGATCAACATCGTCCTCTCTGTCGCTGAAGTACGTCCACACAAGTGGTGTTTCATTTCTTTTTCTGCTGCACATGTGCAGCCAGAACGTCGACAAACTCTGTGTTTTAAAAGAGAGACAGAAAAACCTTCAAAGTATTTAGAAATCTTTCACTTTAAATCAGAATCTCTTGCAGAAAATGAGAAGTTTTGTATCAAGCAACAAAGTTCGGTTCAAATCACCAACGAGACGACTGCTCGTGCCCACAGCAGTGTCGGTGCCGAAACAATACACCGCGCAGCCGTAAAATTCAGATCAACTTCTCGCAAGCCACATACATTAGGAGCCATTTACCGCTTCTTAAGCCTGATAGGATACCATCACTTCCCGAAGATCGCTCAGCGCAGTCGTTTCATTACTTTCTCGCCTTTAAACATCTATTTACATTCCACTCCTGGGCTGCTTAAGTTGCCATCTGATGTAAATAAGTCCGACAGCTGTTTAAAGCAATAAAATAAAACCTTAGCAATTCTATAAAAACCTCAGGGCCACGCGCTTAAGCCTTTAAATAAATATAAGCAATTTAACTGCGGATGAGGCTTTAGCAAAAACACATAATCCAATCTGCTTACTTCCTCATCACACCAGGAAAAAAGAGAGAGGAGCATCTGTTAGACGCTTTAAACGTATGAAAATCGGTCTTCAAGGCTTCACCGACGGAACAAACCCACCTGTGGCCTCACAGCTTGTCCAGCAACCAAAAGGTCAAAAATAAAACAACCATAAAAACCAAAAACACCTCTTCATCCCACTTAAGTGTCCTTGAATGGGACCGGGGCCGCCGCTGTGAGTCACTGAGGATAAGAGCATCAATTAGATGAAGAAACCTGCCATCACCTTTTCAATCCTGAGGCACCAAATCCAGACTGCCAATTACTCTTTAATGTCTCCGTAATATACAATAAATGTCTGTGCCTGCGCCGGGCCAGCAGCGTAATGACCTCTCTCTCTGATGTGCCAAGGAATTGACATGCCGCCCTCCTCCCTGCCTCATCGCCGCACAACCAGTGGCAATATTTGATTAGTTTACTGTAACGCCGTGTAATCAACTTCTGATTGCGTTTTTTAAGCATCGTAAATAGACGCTGGGCAGCCGGGACATGAACTTGTGTTTACCGTGCGGAGAAAATCAAATGTTTGAGACAAGTCTGCGAATAAATTAGTGGCTGAAGGTGAGGGGAAGGTGAGGCCGGGCTCGTGAGAAAAGCTCATCGGCTCTCTGGCCCGCTTCCAGCCCGACGCCTCGATCTGTTTTTTTTTTTTTTTGGCTTTTCAATCAGGGTTGTCGGGGGATTGAGTGGGTGGGAAGGCTCAAAGTAACCTCCCCGCCCACAGACGAACACACACACAACCCCAAACCCCTGTGGCTCGGCAGACCAGAGATGTACACACTGAATTTCCTTTTGACAAATACTCCGAAGGGCTTCGGGATATCTCCCGCTTTAAGAGAGTTCCCCCGCTGTCGAGACGACGTGGGAACGAGTGTGTGTGTGTGTGTGTGTGTGCAGGCAAACTGCATTCGACTGTGTGTTTGCTGACATTTAAGAGGATGTGTATGTTTTAATGCTGTGTGTGTGTGTGTGTGTGTGTGTGTGTGTGTGTGTGTGTGTGTGTGTAGCAGCTGTGAATGGGGTTGATTGAGGCCGGGCCTCCCTGCTCAGGCTGTGCGTCACCGGCTGCAGCCCACCGCGGCATCCCTCAGCGTCGCAGCACAGAAAACACACGGAGGGATACGGCGGCTTATAGGTGGACCTGCAGGGCGTCTGAACGCAAGGAAGACGAGGAAAGACTGGCAGGAATGCTCTTTTGATACAGACGTGGGAACCATAAGATCAGTGTGTGGATGATTGTAAAAGGAAAAAGACGGCTCTTTAACTCACTTACTTTTTATTATTATAAACTTGATGTTGTTCTTTAACAGTCTGAAGGTTTTTCATTTTTATTTGATGGCAAGAAATCTGAGCTGAAACTATTATTTTCCCAATTAATCATTTAGTTTATAAACTGTTAAATGATATTTTGTGTTAATGTGTTTGATCAAGGATATGAAATAGAATGCAGTTTCTTAAAACAAATGCGTCAAAGCTGTCAAATTCATTCAGCGTTTCTTGGTGTTTAGTTTGGATCCACATGTTAATTTAAGGTTTTAGTGGTTTGTGTTCCCCTTCAGAGCTATTTTGTTTGTTGTGCTTCTCTGAAATTCACATTTTTAATAATTTGTAATTGAATTAGGTTGAGAAGAATGTTGATAAATGTAATTATTTGAATAAAAATAATCAAAATCACTCAAAAAAGTACTTAAAAACCGATTAAAAAAGGTTCTTTACTGAAGAAAATACCTCTATCTTGAAAATTGTTCCTTTAAGAACCTATTTTTAACCAAGTTCATGCTGATCAGAACCACTTTCTGGTGGTTCTTTGAGGCACTTTCAGGTTTCTTTAAAGAACTAATCAACGTCCTGAAAAAAAATCCTCCATGTTTCCTCAAAGTTGTCTAACTTTCCATCTACTCACTGCATCCTTGAGGTTTGTTTTATCTCTTACCAGACGTCCCTCCTCTGATACCAACAAAGCGTTGGCTTTGTCATGTTTCTCTGGTTTGTCACCTTCGACGGCTGATGTGTGTTTTATTGCCTTCTTTGAACTTGCATCTCTTGATGTGATGTGTCGGCGTTTTGGCACTTTGGATCAACCATCCCTCAAATCAGCCAATTATCCAATCACAGCCGGCTGCTAATACTGGTTTGCATCCTGTTTCTGTCTGTTTTGTTCTGCTGAAGACACAGTTGGGTTGTTTATCGCTGAATAAAAGTTGCATTTTGCTGGATTAACTTCCTGCTAAGAGTCAGCATCTTTATTGTTCTAATTTGAAGGATGAAATTGAGGAAACAAGGAAGAGAAAAGAACAGGAAGGAGAGAGGAGAGGAAGAAAGACGAGATAAAGGAATGAAAGAAGAAGAAAATCAGGAATGAAAAGAGAGCGAGGCTTCCTGTACAAACCAACTGGCACATGAGAAATAAATTACATTCAAACTAATGTAATCCACTGCAATCTAATCTTCTGCCCCCACAATCCATCTTTAGACATTTTATTCTAAGTCCTCCCCCCTACAATAAGTAGTTCAGCTGCGTGCATTACAATTTCATATGACAGCGGTAATATTCTTAAAAAAGAACAAACAGAGGAATATTTTCGTATGACATCTCAGCCCCACAGGAGCGCTCCGGCGCTCTCGGGGGCCCTGATGTATTAAAGCTGCAGAGTGTGGGCGGGATGATCTAGATTCACTTTGTATTTCCAGGTCACTACGACACACGCCAGCGATCCCGGCTCCCATTTTGTGCGATTTCCACCAAAACAAAACGTATCCCACCGCGCTCCGCTCCGAGCACACAGCATATATCATCGGATATTTAAAGTAACGACGGGGCTGAGGGTTACGTAACCGGAGCAACAACAGTCACACGTTTTCTGAATCCAAACACATCCTTATATTGCTCTTATCCGTCCACGGCGAGCGCAGCCAAAGTGCCTCCTTGTTCTGCGCTTCGTCTCGGCTCAAGTGATTTAAAGCTGCTCGCTGCTGCTGCTGAGTTTAGTCTGTTAATGAAGAATCCCGTGGCAGACGAAATTAAGAGCCGTCTCTGCTCTGTTTAGGAAACTTTTAGAGAGAGTTGCTTTCAGGCTGCTGCCTTTCGGAGGGCTTGGATTAACTCTTTTACCGCTGCTCCTTTTAGCTGCTCTTGAACTTTAACCCTCTGGAACCCAAAGCTCGCCCCGCAGGGTTGAAAGGGAAGATATCCTTCTAATTTATCAGAAACTGTAAGAGAATCCATGGATCTGTAACTAACAGAGGATAGTAGTCGACCCCTGTTCTGCAACATAATGCTGGTTCAG